ATCCCTGGTTGACCGATAGAACCTCTTACTCCGGGTCACGCTCACACTAAATTCCCCGATCAGAGCAATAATACGACGGAACAAAAAACCAGACCGAAAACGGAAGTTCCAAAATCCTATGCCCACAGCAAAAATATTGATATATCTATTCCTTCCCCGAATCGAAAAAACAAAATACCGGGGCCAAGAAGAAGAAAGAAGCACAGTACAATACATGGCATAGCTACTTCCTGCACTATTCATTCTCACCTGTACCTACCTACCTTGCTTTACCTCCTACCTACCTACCTACCAACCTACCTACCTACCAACCTACCTACCAACCTACTGTACCTACCAACCTACCAACCTACCTACTACTCACCTGCCTGCCTGCCTCGCGCTCACGCTCTGACAGACCTACCGGGAATCCGTTCACCTACCTATCTACCTACCAAACGGGAAACCAAACAAAAGAGGGAAAAAGGGATAATATTACCATAATAAAGACAAATCGAAGAAAATCGAATCGAATAAAATCAAATTCTGGCGGACAGAAACAGAGAAAGTACCGTAAACTCACCACCTCCAATCCAATCTAATCGATAAGCTCGTAATTTCAGCCGCCCGCACTCTCTTCCCTGCTGTAAGTTTCTTTCCTTTTTTTCACACCTTTTTCCGCTGGATCTCACATTTCCATTCTTTTCTTTTCCCTTTTCTCTTCAGGCGTTTTCCTTCAGGTGTTTCGGGGGAGAGGAGAGCGAAAGAGAGAGTGGAAGGAGGTTTCTCTTTTATTTTTTTGTTCTGTTCTGCTCCACCATACTTCTTTCGCAGAGCTGAGAAGAGGTATCAGAAAGAGAGGAAGGGTGTGGCACGGTGTACCGGTGCGGGCACAAAAAAGTGAAAGAGGGAGAGAAAGAGAGAGGGGGGAGAAGTGGGAGGGAGGAATAATCTACGGTACGCAATACTGTAACTCCAAGATACGCACAAACGTACTGTACCCGTACCCCATCCGTCCATCCATTCCATCCATCCATCCATTCATTCATTCATTCACCCATCCATCATCCATAACCTTACTCGAACGTCCACCTATTTTTATTTTCATTTTAAATTTCCCTCTTTGCCCCGCCAATAAACAAAAAACAAAATCAGAATCAAAAAATCAAAATTTTTTATAAATTTTTTTTTTCTTTGCTGCCCACGCATCCCCACTCCCACTTGTCATCCCTCAACCCCCCGCCCCCGGTGCCGCCCCATTTTTTTTTTCCCTTGTGTTTTCCCCTACGGTATTTCCCCAACCCCAATACCCCCACCCTACCCTACCCACGCCTTTTTATTTTTCCCTGATTTACGATACTTCTTAAAGAAGCAAACGTCGAAGGAACCGCAGAAGGTGAGAGAGGAGAGAAAGAGAAAGAGAAGAGAAAAAAACTGGTTGCCACTGCCGTTGCCGTTGACGTTCTTCTCTTTGGGGCGTGTACGTTTTCCTCTACGTTATACTGAGAGTACCCGGGTGCAGAGGAGAATAGTTCGATGATGGCGAAGCGGCCCATCAAACCGGCCGTTGAACAACCCAACCCTTCAGCCACAACGACGAGCGTCTCGACTTCGGAAGACCAGCAGCAGCAGGCACAGCAGCAGCGAGGAACTGGAGGAGGCGGTGGTAGTGGTGGGGTAGGGGCAGGAGGAAGTGGAGCTGGAGGTCAAGGTGCGGTCCCGGCAGACGTGGATACACTCAGTCCTACTACCCCCGTATCGAATAAGAAGAGGAGGGCTTTGAAGCAACCCGTTGCACCCGGTACCTCGCCGTTAGCCGGGCCATCGGCGGGGGCGAAACGAACAAGGACAAACACCCCCTGGACTGCAGCTGAAGAGCAACGGCTTAAGAGTATGCGAGATGCTGGAAACTCGTGGAGTGAGATCGCAAAGACCTTTCCAACCAGGACTGAAGGTAGTGTAAAGAAGCACTGGTATAAGGCAAGTTTGGAGCTCACCTACTTCCCCCCCGCCTTGCTCTCTCTATTCTCCCACCCCTTCACCTTCTCCCCATTTCTTCCTTTATAGATATACATGCATATATACACATATGCATATATATATATGATGTCCCGCGCTATCTTTTTATGCAACGAGGAAGAGCATCCGCTAACAGAAGTAGGATATGCATTATGCAGAGTTTGGCGAAGATGAGGTGAGTGAGGCGCCAACGCCCATTTCTCTAGAAGGAATAAATGTCTTTTTCTCAAACCTTTCGTCCCTTTCATCTTGCTGACTTATTTTTCCTGGCTCGCAAAAACGAAGAGCGCTGCCTTGCTTGCTGCCATCAAAGAATATGAAGCAAACAAGTGGAAGGTCATCGGAACTAAAGTTGGGAAGCCGGCAAAGGTATGTTGTCTTTCTAGTTAATGTATAAAATGGGGAGAGAGGGGAGGTGGGGGGGGCAAAACCTACATTTTTGATACTCGTCCCGGCTAACGAGTGGACTTTATAGGCCTGCGAGCAGTATGCAAAAGAGCATTTTGCCGGGAAGTAAAGGGTTTAGCATCGGGGTTGAGATCGGTTGGGAACATGGTGTCGGCGCATATTGAAGGGCTTTCTTTGTTTCTTTGCTTTATCCCTCATTTTTTCCCCCTTCGATTGCTTTCCTCTGTTTGTTTGGTCAGATTGGTGGTAAACGAGTGTCGTTCGTCTTTTGGTTTTTGATTCCGTTTCATCCAAAAATCATTTCGATGTAGTCTTCCGTGGATGTGAAGAGAAGCGAGTCTTGACTATTTCCCCCCTCTCCCTCTCCCTCTTCCTTTCTCCTAAATACCTATCATATTTTCCAACGTCCCATCATCATCATCATCATCATCATCATCATACCTTTTTCATTCATTCATTTTTTTTCTTTTTCTTTCATGCTTTTTTCATCCACATTTCGGGGTTCCTTTTTAATCGGTGGGACTCGACGGCGTCTGCGTGGTTTGGGCGAATTCTGTTGGTGAGCTTTCCTGAACAAGCCATCGGGAATTATTCGGCTTTCGAGGTTAACTACTGTAATCATCTCCTTTCTTAATTTTGATAAGGTTCCACCCACTCGTCCAACTTCCACGGGTCCTTCCCCCTCTTGACGTCACCCCGACAGCTGTCAAAAAAGAAAAGGGAAGGCAGGATCAATATGGGGTACTGGTATAAGGTTTGATGGTGGCGGGGGCGGGATGTGTTGGTGTAGATCCCCCATGCTATGACGAGGAGGCCATAGTCTCGGTTCCGGCTGATCAGCCGCTAAATAAGAATAAAGAAGAAGCCTTAACGAGACGTCTCGGTAAAACTTTAGGTTGGCGTTCTTGGAACTTTTTTTTTTTTTTTTTTTTTCCGATCTCAGGAATTTTTGTCTCAGCGCGGGCCGATCCCGAGCTTTGGTGGGCTCCTGATACGGTGAGAGTAAGAAAACAGAAAAGACTTGTATAAAAAATAAAAATAAATAAAAAAAGGTATCATAAGCTCAAGAAAAAGTACCTGGAGGTACCCAAAGCTACTCCGAGCTGCTGACTGGGGGTCTCAAGAGGTTCGACCAGCACCATGATCTGCCGTCCCGCGTGAGTTCCTGCAGCGAGGAGAAAAAGCTGAATGTAACAGAACAATCTTTCGAACTCCCGGTAATTTGTGGCTGAGCTGTACGAGCACTGTACGCGTGAATGCACAGTCACGTTGTCATTTTTTTTTTTCGGTCTGAAGAGAAAAAAAAAGATATCGCTTTGCGTTTTTTCTTCTTTCCCCTTTTTTCTCCCTTTGAGCGAGCCACTAATAGTGCCGAAGAAGAAAACGGAACAAAACCAAGAAATAAAAAAAAGTTATTAGCAAAAGTCCAACAAGCTCGTAACCCCAATAATTCACCAAGTTTCCTCCTCCGATACTTGTTATATTAGGACGGTTAAACGCAGCACCAGTTCCTGCCGGCACATTTTTATAAGAGAAGTGAGAAAATCATACCCAGTCGGAAAAAGAAAAAAAGAAAAAGAAAAAGCAATACTTCACGCCAACTCTCCAACCCAGTAAGAGCTCCGAAATCGTTCCTTTTTTCTTCCTTTTTGAAATGACGTTCGCAAGGAGGCAAAGGAAGTAATCTCCTTCGTTAGGAAGGGAGCGATGAGCAGAATTTCTCTCTCTGATATCCCTTTTCAGTCGTCCCTTCGGGAAGTGCTGGAGGTTCTCATTAAATTTTGAAGGTCAGCTCTAAAAATAAAACATAAAGACCCAAGGAACTGTCTGTGTCGTACCCACAATTTCCGACCAACTGAGCCACTAGAGTTTGTGCCATCAGAGAATCGGAAATAAATCATTGACACCCCTTGACTGCAAGGAAGAGGGGGATATCTTTTTTTTTTTTTTTTTTTTTTCTGCTTTGCTCACAAAACAATAAAATAAAATAAAATAAAATAAGAGATTGCACTCTTGTCGCCTTGTTCCCACCAAAAAAGTTTATACGGTAGCCATCTCTTTTCCCAGGGGCCATGTTCCTTTTTTCTCGCCGTCTTACTGTGTCCCTATTCTAGGGATGTCTTGTGGGTTCGGGAGGAATCTTCCGATTGCTCCAACCCCGGATTCAATATGACGTGGCATGGCAACGAATCGAAGTTTCATTTACCAGGTTGAATCTTCCAACTAGAACCGACCCACGATCCTTGATCGATAGACCAAGTTGGAAGGCAAATGCAAGTTATTGGGCTCTAAGCGAATGGCAGCTGCCGAAAATATGTTCACAAACTAAGGGAGGGAAAGAAAGTTAGTACGATGCTATCTTAGAGATCTATATTGCACATGCAATAGAACGGATAGAAGTGGGGGTGAAGGAGTGGTTTGTAATGAAGAAAAAAGGGAGAAGGGTTCGGTTGCCCCTATTGCCTACCGCTAATACTCGTATGTGGTAATGATGCGAAATCAAATTGGGTGGTGGATAAGCCCTGCAAAGAGGCATAACACAACCTCGCGATGTATAATGTATAGCAGACAACCGCATATGACATGGTACGAGGAAAGCCTGCAAAAAAAGACCCGATGTTCTCCATCACCAAAAGGATCCCGGTATCGAGATGCAACGTTGCACCTATCGGTATTCGACGAAGTAATTGCGTAGATATATATCCTAATATGCGGACTAGCGGAGAGCTCCCTATGACCCCACCCACCCCCCCCATACCGGTAGCACAGCCTGAACCTCGGCAGCATGTTGGGAGCAAAGTGGCAAAGTACTTTTTTTGTACTTGATTCCAGCATTCGCAGGCGAAGTCTGTGATGGGGATTTAATAAATTCAAGTATCCGGCATGGAGCACCAGATCATTTGAGTCCGAATCTAGTATGGCGCTCAGATGTGCACAGATAATTTGCTATACAAATTTTTGATCCCTGTGTTCGGCCGCTCCACACCGGACACTTTTGCCTTCGGGATGTTCCCGGCTCGCGCCTCTTCGGAGTCGTTAGACCTCCGATACCGTATTCACTGGAACGACAATAAAAAGGTAGATGAGGTTGTTATGCAAAATCTCGAAGAGGAAAACACTGCCGGTAAAACCTTCTTCCCCGCTGTAGTGGTTGGTTAGTTATTTCACCATCGACCGGGAGCTCAGAGAACTTGCATATGATTCGTCTGGCACCGATATCTCACAATTTGGGCCCCGCGAGAGCCGTCTGGATTTGAAATTGGCATCCAACAATCATAGATCCAAGGAGAGAAAACCCTCGGGTTCGTGTCGAGCATTCAATTGAGGAATAGAGTGGCACACATGTGTCACTTGAAAAAAAAACCTTCTCACCCTTTGGTGTCCTGTCTTTGCTTTTATTTTTCCCCTTCCTTTCTTCTTTTTCCCTTCATCATCCCTCAATCAAGGGGCAAAAACCATGCAGAAGTTCCACCGGAGAGATTAGCGGGCTCTAACCGAAGGGGATAGATTGATAGATTTCAACTTGTGAGAAAAAACCTCCGACGTTAAGGATTTAGCCATTCTTCCTTCCTTCTGGATGAGCCATCATCATCACATCGATCTGAAGAAGGGGGTAATGGTTGGGTGGGGGGAGGGGTGGGAGGAAGGGGGGGGGATTCAGTGGTGTTGTGGGTTGTGAAACCAAGACCCCACGGGCAGAGCGATGATGGATGATTGATGCAACTTCGCATTCCTCTGCGCCCCCCTCTTGTCCTCCTCCTTGGCTGTGGCGGGAGCTCAAGGTTTTGGAGGGAAAAAAGAAATTGTAGAATTTATTATACATTTTTCTCATTACGGTACTGTATTATGTATGATACTGTATCTATTTTCTCCCATTCTCATTTTTAACACCTCGAATGGCCCTTGTTGTGCACGGCCGTTGAGCAGGGATGTAGGATGTTAGACTAAGTTTGTGACAGACGAAGGAAACAGATGTTGAAACGCGAGCCGAGAATCTGCCTCAACAATTGGAGGGGTGGAAAACGATGTGGGTCTGCGGTCGTCAAAAACGTGCACCATCAGTCAGCTATCACTGCCGTACCGGTACTTGTACGAGTGCTGTACCGGTATCCGTACTAGAGCAAACCGGGCTGTGGGTGTGCAATGCGCGCTAGACGGGAGAGAAAGAAGAAGAAAAAGAAAGTAGACTTCTGACAACGTGATCGCGCGACATTTGGGCATGATATGCGTATCGGTATCGGTGAGGAAGAGGGAGGGGAAGGGGTTGTGCGTGGTGATGGTGAGGTACAAGTACAAACGTTCCCAGTATCACTGCACGCACTGTGCTGAGGGGGTGGAAGAGGGGTTAGGGGACGGTAGCTTTTAGTGCTGGAACAACTGTTTGTGATGATGCCCGTCACCGTGCTTGATGCGGAGATGGGAAAGGGAAAAGAGAACCCTTTTGAGCTGTCCCGAAGATCAGATGAACCACCGTTTCTCCAAAGCAGGGTAAAGAGATTGTCACAACTGGGGGGGGGGATCATCAGCATGGCACCGCCTCATGAAGGCTCATTCGCTGATCGCCGCAATGTTATGGAAGCCCAGGTCCTGCATAGAGAGCATCGGTACTCGAGTATACGAGGCGGGCCAGTTTCATGTACCGGCGCTAGCACAGTATACGATGGCACTTGAGCGCATTCAGTTAGGAAGCATGATGAGAAATACCGTTCCTACACGGAGGGCCGGCAACGGCCGTCCCCAGAACTAAAAGGGTTGTGCATACCGGTAGACGAATTCGCGTTAAATAAGCGAATAGTGTCGCGGAATCGGACTCGAGACGGCTTCTCAGACACGGTTCGAGCAACAACAACAACAACAACAACAACGAAAAGCATCACTACAAGTACTGAGTACGAGTACTGTACTAGTACAGTAGCATTCACCTCTTCGGTCGTGATTCCGATTGATTGATTGGCTCGCCCGCTGATTGATCCATCAAGTGATTAGGTAGGCTAGAGTGCTGATAGTTGGGGGCGATGTAATGAGCATTGAAGGGGCGATGCGACGTGCTGTATCGATGACCAGCTACTCGTACAGTACTGCCTGTCCCGGCCCAGGAGTATCCGAAAACAGGAGGGGGGGGGCATACTTTGTATTGGTGCTCAGCGACGCACTGATTTTTTACCACATACGAGTATTTCGCGGATCCCTGTTCTCGGGTACTTCTGGCCTGGGACAAGCGACCTGTAGGCGGATCGGGAACGTCGGGGAAACAAGGGTAAGAGAGAAGATGTTGAGAAAAGAAAGGAAAAGGGAGGGAGACACGAAGCTGTTGTATCGCCGCCGGTAAATCCGAAAGAAAGTAAAAATAAAAATAAAAACCTCAAAAATAGAAGGTGAATAAGAATATATCAGATGTATTCGAGTAAAATCTCTTGTGGACGGATCTCTGGACGATCCCCAGAAGAAGAAGGAAAAAGAAACATTAGAAGGAAAAAGAAATGTCATACAAAAGGAGATCGAGGAATGTACCGAAAGAGTGATAGACCGAGATAGCGAGAGGGGGGGTTCGTCCAAAGAAACGCCCAGCCGGGGATTTTTTATTGATTCGGTTTTAGTGCTGGAGACGCTAGTACGAGGCCAACAATTGGCAGGGCTTGGAAAAGTAGCGCACGAAAAATAGCCGGTGACAGACTCCCGGGGACAAGTCCATATGAGCATCACACACATCGACCTGTATGATATGAGCACTTACTCCACCCACCGTGTGTATACCTCTCACAAATCTCACAGGCACTGTACGCATTCGTTGGACTACTGTAACAAAATACTGAACACAGATACGGTACCCTACCCTACCCTACTCATCCCCCACTTGGCCTGACTGGGTACACAAAGAGTATCTAAAAACAGTGAGGGGGAAGGGGGGGCGGGAGAAGGGAGAGAGAAGACAGGAGGATTATTAAAAAAATGAAATAAACGAGCGAACGGATAGAGAATACACACCAGTATCTAACTAACTAACTAACATTAGGCTAGCATGCACGCACATATGAACTCCGCCCAGCTTCGACTCGTAAAAGCCCCCCCGTTTGGCCCAATCGTGCTGCGAGACCGGAGATGAACCTGCTGCCCAAGCGATGGGTTTTGAAGAGCCAATTGCTCCGCGCACATACACAGAAAGTGAAGTCGAAACTTGCTGGTTTCCTTGGGGCCCCCGCTGTCCGCCACCAACGGTTGTCTAAATCGCGCCCGAACTCTTTCCTAGAGCGCACTATACGGCTCTCTCTACCCAGCAAGCAAGCATCATGGTTGGTTCCTAGTACTTGTATGAGCCTCTATCGACATGGATAGGGTTGCCGGGTCGGGGGTGGAAGGGTTTAGCGGATGTCGCAGAAGGGTCGCGGGTGCAAGGCACGGTTCATGCATTCGTGGAAAGCTGCGCTTCTCCGCTCTACTCGAGTAATGATCCTTTTCCTCCCCGTCCTCTCCCCCCCCTCTCTCCTGTCCTTTCCCTTGCGTCTCACTCACATACCCCCTCCCCGCGTTCGGTTTCGCCGCACACTGTACCGAGTTTACACCCTACCGAACTGAGCAGCAAGAAGCCAACTAGCATGGCATGGATTGAAAGGGAGGCGAAGGGATTGCCGGTAATAGTGATGAAATAAGGGGAAAGGGAAAGAGGTGAAAATGGAAACTAGTGAGATGTGGAAAGGGACATATAGGGTACTGGCAAAGTACGGAAAGTTGAGATACAGAGAGGCAAGAAGCAGGAGCAGAGGCAGCTGGCAGGGGAACCTCCACCCGTATGGATCAGTTTCCACACAACCTACGGTACTCATTATCACCCCAGCCTATCTACTTGTACGAGTGTATTTTTATTTTTTTCTTCTTTTTTTTCTGCTCTTTTGTTGCTTTTTGTCGTTGTTATTATCACTATCATGATTATTACCGTATTATCATCCTCCCCTTTGGGTTAAATAAAAAAGGATTATACCCAAGCACCCCACCTCCTGTCTTTTTCGCACGGTTGCTTCTGCTATGGTCTCTCCTCTCTCCCTCTTGTTCTCTCCACTTCGTTCTCTTCTCTATCCAAATCTCTCCAGTCATTTGATCAACCTCATTTCCGGCTGGTGGGTTGGCTGGCCCACACAGCAGGTTGGGCCGGTCCCAGGGAGGTTTGGTGTAGGTTATGGGTTGCGCAACGTGAGCTGTCAAGTGTCAGGCGCCTTCCGTCTCAAGCCTCTCCCTTTTTTTCCTCTCGTGAATCGAGATTTCAGATCCTTGATAACAATCCCAGGTACACTATGAGATAGTGGTTGTGGTATGAAAGTCTAAATGATGGCGCTGACACACTACACGGAAACTCCAGCGAGCATGTCAAGATAAAAAATTCAGCCATGATGGGGGTTATGGTAGAAAGATTAATTTCTATGAGTGGTGGGTGTGCTGGGCTGGCTTATCCTCTCTTGTGGGGAATAACGTTCTTTCAATTGTCTTGTTATTTCCTTTTTTCCTTCCTTTCTTCCCTTTTTTCTTTTCTTTTTTCCCTTCCTCTTCTTATTTCTTTTATTTCGGTAGAAGACTTGAGCTCTCTTTGACCCTGTGGTAGTCTTTAAGTTACTGTACTTGTGCAAGGACCAGACATAGAAAAGTGGTACAGAGCAGGGTGGTAGGCCGCAACTAGCTCGTCTTGGAAGCAGACGGACATACACACCTTCCATCGTTCAACGAGAGGTTGGAAAGAGCTGTCTCTTCTTTTTTGATAGACATGCTGAATTGGAGGCTAGGTACCTCGTCCATCAATTATATTCGTTCAAAGTCGACCGAGGCAAGAGGAAACAGAGATCCCTTCAGGGCCATGTTTCTCAGGTGTGCCACTTCCACTTGAGGTTTTAGTTTTTCACCGTACCATTATTTTATCCCTGACCCTTGTATGTGTGGATTCAGGACAATGCTTGCCTCTCTGCTTACCCGCACTTTGGATTCGTGGAAAAGGAGTCGGGAAAGGCGGGTTTGGGTGGTTTGGGGTGGATTGCTACACAGAATTCCAGTGTTCTCACCCCTGCTCGCTGCCTTCTGGCGGGATATTTGCTGTAACCGAATCCGCGAACGAGTTCTCGAGTGCTCGTACAAACCTTCTTGCCTGCCGTACTTGTACTCTACCACACACTTGGGGTCCGCCGCCACAACCTTACCTTCCTCTTTTCGCCATTTATTTTACTTCCTACTATTTACCCCCTTCATCCACTTCGAGGATAACACCACCCCATCTCCATCATCGTCGTCGCCACTATCGTTTATCAATCAATCCATTGCTGGGTCGTTCCTACCCTGCATCGCTAAGTTATCCAGTAAGCCAACTGTAATTGCTGACAAGCTGCAACGGCAGGATCGACCGGTTTTTGACTCTCGGGGGGGAGGGGGCAATCATGGGAGGGGACCGGGGGGCGTGAAGAGGGGGGACGGATGGCGGAGGGGCATATATAAATCTCAATATTATACCCTTTCAATCGAGTCTCTGGCCTAACAACTCGCAAGACTGGGAGTGTGTGGTGTGTGGGAGGAGGATTGCGTACATAGAGTACTTTTTTGGCCTATATTTTTGGCCCTTATGTATAATTCATGGCTGCTATATGGTGGGATTGCATGCAATTGCACCCATTTTTATGGCCGATACGTTGCTGTATGATACGTTCGAACCGCTATGATATGCCCCCTCCAGAGTTGTAACTTTTTGCGAACAAAAGCCGAAAAGGGCGTGTCTATTGAGTATATCTCCGGGGAAGATAATTTTCCTCTTTCCGCTTCTTGGGCTTGATCTGTTCTGTTTTTTTGTTTTGTTGTTTGTTTTTAACCTTGACATTTATATTATTATTTTATTATTCCTTTCGTTCCGTGGCACCGCTTCCATGCTCCTCCATTCTGCTGCTCCTGTTCTCCCGTTTCCCGTCTTTCATGCCTAGAGCTGCCCGGTTCTAGTCCTAAACTCGCTGTCTCCGTCTGTGTTGCTTGTGCCTGTGTTTGGTGCTGGTGCCGCTGGTTGCTAGTTATGGTACTATACTGACGGAGGTGCTGTTACCCCAGTACTGCCTCTGCTTCTGCCACTGCTGCTCCTACGAACCACAAACCACAAACCACGGCCACAGCCTCCTGTTACCCTTGCACCCCAGATGCATCTACCCATTCGATTAACCTCATCCTCCTCGGCATCATCACCCTGAGCCCCCCCTCTTTCCCCATCCCCTCTTCCTGCCCCCTCTCCTCTTCTTGATCATACTCTAGCCAACCCCCTCCCCATCCTCCCCTCCGGCGGTCTGGTGGTGCCTGAGGTTGACCCACGTCTCAACCCCCCCCCCTTCCCCTCCTTTCTCACCACCACAGCCCACCCCAGTCCATTTTTGTTATTCCTTGTCCCCCTTTTTTCTGATGTTCTTGGTGTTGCCGTCGTTGCGCAAATACCATCCTATTGCTGCTGCTTTTTTCTTCCTCAGCTCCGAGGGTCTGGACACTGCTCCCCGCCCCACCACTAGCCGTTCTAGATACCTATACCTCTGCTTCCGCTCCATCAAAGGTTTCTTCGTCAGCCTCCGTCCAACCCTGGGTACCCAGCAGGGACTCCTTCTTGTTCATGGCATAGACGTTGTTGAATCATGCACTCAAGTCTCTTGCACTCGCCGTTCCCACAAAGCAGCTTCTCCACACGAAGTACGAGTTTCGGTTCCGGGTCGACTGATCAATTACTATATTTCAAACTTAGCGAGGACAAGAACGCCAGAGTAAACGATTGAAGTCCTTCGACACGGGGGGTGCCAAAGAAGATCGCGGGCCAGTCGACGGTACTTTGAGAGGATATATACTTATATATCGTACCACACCCCCGCGCATCCCAGCACCTATTTCCTATTTCCCTGGGCTATAGTTCCTCCACCCTGCAAACGTTATTTCCGATCCAGCTTTGTCGTCAGTGGTTCCTGTGCCTTACTTGCTGCTTCCTGCTGCTCCCTGACTGTACATTGGACCGGAACACGTCTGCCGCCAAACAAACACAACGTCCATCCTTTGTACACATCAGTACCCAAAGAAAGAGAGAAAGAATATCAATAGAAGTCGTGTTCGAGACTCCTATAATCCTTTACTTTCCAACACAGGTAAGGCTACTGGGGATACCGTCTCCAGTGCATTGGGTTTACGTTATTCGCAGTGGCTGCTCCATATCAGCTCGACGAGTATCCGCGCTATACCCATCGCCATTACCACCACCACCATCACCACCCTCAATCGCCTTATATTCAACAGGAACACGAGCCTCGGGGTCTCGATTCCCTCGAAGATCTGAACGAGCCGCTGCTTCTAGTACAGCAGATGGCTCATCAAAGGCCCCCGCCACACATGGGCGGGGCAGGAGGTAGTGGGCACCTTTACGGTCCGGGACTATCTTCGTCCAGCAAGCCAAGAGCGAGAACTCATGATGAAATAGAAATCGATCTTAGTGACGACCAAGATGTAGATTCTCACTACCAGCATCAACACCTTCCCCCCCCATCGCATCACCATCAACACCCACAGCACACCCATCATCACCACATGCCAGATCAGCCACCACCCGCAAAGATGGCGCGAACAACTTCGGTGATGGGCGTGGGGGGAGGTTCGCAGATGGGAGGTTCGTCAATGGGTATGCCGGGACCATCATCACTCGCTGGGCCATCGAGCTCGCAGCAGATGCCAGCGCCGGCACCAAGACCACGGGGCCCGAAGCTCAAGTTTACACCTGAGGATGACCAGCTGCTTGTCGACCTGAAGGAGAACAAGGCACTGACTTGGAAACAAATCGCCGAATTCTTCCCTGGTCGCTCATCAGGCACTTTGCAAGTCCGTTATTGCACAAAACTGAAAGCCAAGACCACGCAGTGGACAGACGAGACTGTAAGAAAACCTTCTCCCGTTCTTTTCCCAAATTTGGGAGGGTTACATACCCCCGGATTTCCCCCCATTATAGGGCCGTTTCGTATTCCTCTTCGACTTTGAAGACGCTTTAGCTTTTCTAACATCAAGGCCGTGCCGTTGCCAATAAATAAAGGTGTTACGGCTCCGTAATGCTATCCAGGAATACGATCAAGATCGTTGGCGTCTTATCGCTGCCAAAGTTGGAAATGGCTTTTCCCCAGCCGCTTGCAGAGAAAAAGCAAAGGAGCTGCAGGAGCCGTAGGTTCCGAAACAATCACTCGCAGCAACGAGGTCTTACGCCACCAGATCATTCTTCTCGTTTTTCTGCGACTGCTGGTGACTTTTTGACGTTGTCTAGAGCTGAAACATTCGGGATTCAATTCTGCTTCATTATTTCGGGATTCATTCTATTCTTGACTTGGTTCGATTTTTTGGTTATTTCTTTTATAATAATATTTTTGTTACGGGAGCGAAAGAGGTGGTAAGAAAAAAGCCTTGAACGTGGGTTGGGCAGGGCCGGGCAACAAGCGCAGCATTATACTTTGATTCAGATTCGGGAGGGGATAGGGGGTTGGTTTTTTTCGGATTTGTGGGGGCAATATCGGCGTTCTTTTCTTTTTTCCTCTTACTTCCCTCGTTCGTTCAGTTGGATTAATTTTTCGGCATTACCCTCACTGCCTCTCATCCATCTTTCATTTTGCTGTGCTCTTTGTCTCCCTTCAGTATTTCTTTGTTTCTTTTGTCCTCGGCTTTTTCCCTATGACAACCCTTTGCGACTTACCAGCAACATGGGGTGCAATTGGCCTCTTATATCTATCAGCAGTTGAGCACGGCAGTTACCGAATTTGCTTTTTTTTGCGGAGGAGGCTGCTTGGTAGGACGAGTGCTATTTTGTGGACCGGATGTGTGGCGGTGGTAACGGTGGCGGTTGTTTGGTTGAGTTTTTCTTCTTTCCTTTTTTCCTCTTCTAATCTTCGGGATTCATGGTTACTGGCATGATGTTATGATATACCCTTACCCTTCGTGAGCGTCAGGTCCGTTTGAATATCGGTGGTAATTCCTGTCTTCTCTTTAATTTCTATCTCTTATTTTTTGATCTTTTCTGTTTTCAAGAGATATCATCCCCCCATTTTCTCGCTACCGTTCCTTCTCACCCCTTCGATTCATTAGCATATTCTTTTCGGGGTTTTACCCCCCTCCCATTTTCATCATTTTCATCATTTTTTCCTCCCTTGTTCGCAAAAAAACAAAAAAAAAAGCCTTCATGATCATTCATTCCAACCCGCGATTTTTATATAATACCTCTGCGTCTTATCATTCTTGCTTCTTTCTTCTGGGAGAGGGGCAATACATGTACTTCTACTCGCCTTCTAATGTCTTGGTTATTTTTTTCTCCTTCCTTATCTTTCTTTCATTCATTCTCCCTTTTTTTTTTTTTTTGTTGTGCATTTATATTCTTTAATTATCATTTTTTTCTTTTTCGCCTGCATACCCTGCTATGTTTTCCTCGGTTGGGTTTCAAAGATTGCGAAAACGATTGTGAATTGTTTAAAGGAAGGAAATTCTCTTCTTCTTGATTCGGATTGGCGGAGGAGCGAATAAGAGGAAGCTGTATTAATATCATACCTTTTATTTTCATTTTTTATCGGACCCCTTTCTCTCTGTTTCTTCTCATCTGGTCGATAAACGGAAATGAGAGGACAAGCAGCAAGCCAACCAGCCGACCGATCGGCCCAACGCGACCGTTTCGAGAAAGTATACCTACCTACCTGCCTCCCCTAGAAGGAGAGATGGAATATGGGATTATTTTTTTCAAAAAAAAAAATGTTGAGAATATTCATCCACTTGGTAATCACGCAACCCCCCAATAATTCCTCTTGTTCATTTGATCGTGAAGCAGGCGAAAAAAAAGGGGGGGAGGGAGCAGAAGGAAGTATGAAAATCCGTTCTGAAATCTGTCTGTACAGTAGATGGTGCTCCGGCGGTGGGACGGTAAAGAAAGAGGAAAAAGCAAACGGAAAAAACATCGTGGGAATTTCCGTGTTCGAGATAAAGTTCTTCTCATGTGTATGTCAAAGCGTGGTTGTGAGTTGATTACCGGTAGCTACAGTAGCTGAGGTGGTATGTGGCGGTGGTAGTGAATATGCATAATATTATAATGCGATGCACTCATGCATTGCATCTAGTATGTATGGGTGTGTGTGATGCGTTAAGTTAAGGACGGTTTTTCTTCCTCGTCCTCCTTCTGCTACCTAGACACTCTGGACTGCCACTGATTTCGCATTGTTGTTTTCCCTTTCCCATTTTCGAGGAAGAAGATAAGGCATTGCAGGTAGGTAGGCAGGTGCAGTATGTTGCTTTGGAAGTGGCGTGCGTGATGGCATCTTGGTTGGTTGGGTGAGTTGGTTGGTGTGCGGTATGACGCTCGCCGCAGAGGAGCGTGGTAGCTCTAAAGGGAAAGGAAGGATTGGAAGGGATAGTACGTACTTTACGTACGTACGTATGTATGTATGTATGTGTTCCTAGCTCGAACTGTGTGCTTGTAGGGGCAAAAAAAAACTCGAAACAAGTATCGTGTTATTATAACTGTATCGAGGACCTGTGATAGGCTCTATCGATCGATTTGTTGGTTTGTATGGTGCTGGGAGTGGTAACTTAGTTGAAGGAAGATGGGAAGGGGGAGGGAGGGTATTGTAGGATACTCGTAGGGGATGTATTATTGGTCTTTCATTCATTCCTCCTCCCTCTTCCCTTCTTCTTTTCCTTCTCTCCACTTGATGTACTCCTAGACGACTGAAGGGGTTGAAAGTGGTGGTGCTATCGTTGCTGTCTGTTTTTTTGTTTTTTTCCCTCTTCCAGCCTTCTCCCTTCCTTGCCACCACTAAGGAGAGGGACGAGGGGAGGGGAGGGTTGTTGGTGTTGAATGCGGTGGAATAGATCACTGAGGGCTATATCCGGGGCCATTTATACCCCTGTGGCGTCGTGTCTGATTACAGTATGGGTCAGCATTGTCATGGGCGGTAAACAGTTCTTAGTAAGGCTTGAAGAAACAATGGGCTTGTGCGCTTGACTTGTGGCGGTGTCACACTGATTACTGCACTATTGTTTGTAACTCTGGTTAGAGTTTTGCCCTTTCTTCTCATTGGATGGCTCGTTGCTATTGTACGGGGTCGGTCGGTTCAATTGCCGAATCATGTTGCCTTCCAATTCATGGCGGGGGAAGGGGGGGGAAACCTATTTTTTCCATCTCGTCCATCGACTTTCCTCTTCCAACCACAGCCCATCCATCCATCCATCCATCGTACAGTCCATTTCCTCCACTCAATCTCCACTCAAGTTCCACTCAGCATTGGCGAGTCATGTTTACAAGACCGGTGATCAACACGTTTCGCGGGGCCATTGTGCCCGCCGTTAGAACAAAGCTCGCCCCCACCGCAGCCACTACAGCCCGCACTTTTACAACGGTGGGGGTCCTTCGCTCCGAAAAGAAGGCCGCGGATACGTGGCCCATCCCCGCCAATGTTAAAACATTTCATGGCAAGTCTCACTTTTGTCGCCCCCCTGCCCCGAATCCATTGAGTTAGGTTACATCCACCAACACTGGAATGACTCTTCGATTGTATTCTATACAGAAATTAAAACAGAAGAAGACCTCCTCCCCCCCGGAGCCGCCCCAGGAGAGGTCGCGACGGATTACAACCAAGCCACAGGTCTCGAGCGTCTCGAGATTCTCGGTAAAATCGAGGGCATCGACATCTTTGACATGAAACCGCTGGACGCCTCCCGCCGCGGTACCCTCGATAACCCGATCGTCGTGCGAAGCCTCGGGAAGGAGAGGTATCTGGGCTGCACTGGGTACCCCGCTGACAGCCACAACACCATCTGGTTGACCGTCAGCAAGGATAGGCCGGTTGAGAGGTGCCCCGAGTGCGGCGGTGTGTATAAAATGGAATACGCGGGGGCTGAGGAGGAGCATCATGGGCACGATGATCGTGGGTTTTACCTTCCCCCCCTATTGCGAGATGGAAGAGCATTGGATAGGCTAATGCGTTACACAGACCACGGCTACGTCGAACCGAAATCTATGGCCGACTTTGTCAGGCCCGAGTATAGATAGACAGACAGACAGGTGGTTGGATGGCGAGACCTGCGGAGAGCCCCGGTTTCCCTCTTTATCTTCATTCCTCTCCCTTCCTCCCCCTCTTTCCTTTCCTCTGTTTTTCTCTTTTTGCTTTGCCGTCACTCTACCTTTGTCCTCGAATCGAGGACGATCGCTAGGTGCATTATCTGGGCTTGTGGGCTACCGGTATACGTTGTGCATGGGATGGGTGGTGTGCGGGGCGGGGCGTCGTCGTTGTGAATAGTCATTTGGTTTTTCTTTCTTTTTTTTTTTTGTGGATTTTCTTTTTTTGTTTGGAAAAAAACCACAAAAACAAAGAATATATATCCCTTTTATTCTTTCCATGTACCGAGAGGTACTCGTACATACTTGTAGATGGAGTGCGCACAACATGATGTCCCTTTGGTGAAATAAGTCTTGGCAGCAGGAACATGCCATTCCCGTCGGTCGGTCAGACGTATGATAGGCAGTGCCAGTCGATCATCTCAGCCAGACGCGGCATCTTTTCTTCCCGTTGGAAAGGTTGCGGACTGGACATTAAGTTACCGTATAAGTTAAGTTATCCCTCTCTCCGGCTGAGATCACTGACCATCAATCAAATCAATCAACCGATTCACTCAATCCCCGCGGCATTGGAGGAGCTTTTCTTTTATGCCTATAATTACGACACCGTACTCGATCCCTCAAAGCAGAAAAATTACCCAACATCCACCGTGTAAGGTCAGTCCGTCAATCCATACGCACTGTATCATCGAGACAAGGCCTGTACAGCGAAAAGAAAAGAAAAGAAAAAAAAAACAGGTGGGAGGAGTCTTGGGGTCGCCGTAAATAGGTTAGTCTAACTTTTGTATGATATTTGTAATGTTATGGAGGAAGGAATAACTTTTCTATCCATCTATCCACCCGGAGGACTACAACTACTAGTATACTATGCTGCGCTGTGCTCTTAAGAGTTCTACGGTACTTGTGTTTTGAGGTGGTAAGGAAGATTGGTTGGTTGTTCCTGCCTGGGGTGGTGGTGAGAGGATGTGATATGGTAGGTATCATAAGTTGGTCAAGTTCTAGCAGCTGAGCTGTGAGACTTTTGGAAGAAAAAAAAATTATAATAATAAATAAAATCCCTCACTTACCTTTCGTTTTCATGCGCAGGATTGGGGGGGGGGGAGTAATGGTTTTGCCGGTTATTCGGACAAGAGGATGATACGGTAAGAGTCGAGATGATCTGTCTTACAATTTATATATGTTGTCCTATGGATGATATGATGACAGGAAGGCTGTGGTATCGGTAGCACTCGAGTTTCATAAGTGGTACCGTACGGCGCAGTAACAGTGGTACAGATGCGGTACGGCATGAGCCGTGATAATGATAGCGTAACTTAACTTGAGAAAGAAAGAGAGCAGTAAGAATTCATAGACTTTCTTCTCTTCCACAAGAAGGGTAGAAAAAATAAAAATAAAATAAAATAAAATAAAAAAAGCAAAAACAAAACAAAACAAGGACACATGATCACTACCCTGCGCCCGGTTATAAACCCGCAGAAGCCTCCTCCTCCTGGGAAACTTCGTGGTCGACCAGGGGCTTCTTGGCCCCCTCTTCATCGAGCACTTTGGGAGGCGCGTGCACTTCCTTCAACTTCCCCACCCAAGTGCGAATGTGCTCGCTGTGGGGATAAAACTGCAAGCTCTTCACCGGGTTGAACAAGCGAAAGTACGGCTGCGGGTCGACGCCCGTCCCGACGCACTATCCTCAAGCTGCCGTTGTTGTTAGAAAAGTGGCCATCGATGAGGGCTCCATGAGGGAGAAGCGCTCGCCGTGTCGCCGGTCGATTAGCAGATCCTTGGTCAGGAAGGAGGCCACGACCGTGCGTGCGCGGTTGCGTATGTATTTGGTCTTTTGGAGTTGGCGGATGGCGGCGTCGATTATTGGGTCACCGGTGTGGCCGGCGTAGAAGTAGGATTCTGCGAGCGAGGTTGAGTACTGGGGAGTGGGGGAGTGGGGGAGTTTGGAGGTTTTGTTCGTGCTGTGGGGGGGTTGGCTTAGGTAGGTCGGGGGTGGAGGAGAGCGTACCAGACGAATGGCCAGTTCACGAGAACGTTCTTGTGAAAGTCTTTTTGGGCAATCTCTGATATCCAACTATTGGTAGGTCCGAGGAGGGGGGCTGTCAGCCAACGAGCAAAGGTAAGATATGCATGAAAGGGAAGAAGGGAGGGGAGGAAGACCACAGCATACGTCTGAATCCTCTTACTCCTCCGACCCAACCTCTTGATGGGGTTCGCACCCAGCGTTCGCTGCCTGCCTAGAGGACAGCGTGCCAGGGGCGGAATGCATGCTCAACAAGCTCGCCCCGTCATCTGTGAGGTCATTATTACCCCCACGGTGGCTGTCCACCTGCTCCTTCGGGAGCTTCTCGGGGCTCGTCTGTGCGGGGGGAATAGGTGAGTCGAAGGGGGAAGTGTGAGCCTCTTGGAGCGAATCGGTTCTGCTCCAGTGATGGGCGGAGCTTTAACCCGGATGGGCGAGAGTGGATATTCTCGATCCAGGCTTTGAACCAAGGAATAAGGGTTCAAAGGGGGTTCCTTTGCACTTTTGTTGCTATACCAGATCGGTTAGCGTCACTGGAAATCACTCAATCAACCTACCGACCCAGGAGAGTAAAAAGAGAGGAAAAATACCTTCGTCACTAGCTCCCTCTCAACAACCCCGCCCTTCGGAGCATCAATCCACAACGGCACTCCAAGCTTGCCCTCCAAACCCTCCTTCAGAATCCTTGAGCTCCGCAACGCAAAATCCGGCTTGGCCTGCGACACCACATGCGCCTCTAAATATTGCGGCGGGAGCATGTACAACCCTACCAGCCCAATCCCTCCTGCTGCTGCCTGCACAACCCGAGATGCTAGTGAGGGAGCGGCATTATCCGCTAAGCGCAGGTCGTCCCTGAGCCAGTGCACCACGCAATCCCCGATGGGAATGCGCTCGCTTGCGGGCCGAGTGTTCGAAAGGGGCAAGAGGAGCGTTTCAGTGACCTTTTATCGGACGCCGGTCACGCATTCTTCCGCATGGGTGTTGAAGATTTCGTCCGGGTAGTAGATACTTACTGGTGGAAGATCTGGGAGGCGACGAACAGGGTCGAGGTTTGGCTCTCATCTTATTCGTGCTCCTCCTCAGGGCTCTTTCTAGAAGTCCGTCCCTTCGGCACATACTCAATGCCTACTGCCGATCCTCGTACAAGCTTCCTCAAAGGATTCAGGTGTAGTTGTAGCAGCAGAACCGTACTCGTAGCCATCATTCAAGCTCCTCGTCAAGAAGTTAGCTCATCCTTCCGTCGAGTAAGTATTACGGACGACGAAAAATAAAGTAGAATCGACACGTAGCGATCATGACCCCTTAACTTGACCCGCTGCCTACGGTACGAGTACGCGGGTATGGAGAGCACCAGGCATGTTGCCCCTCCCGCTAAATCCTAACGTTCATGGATGTTAGATTAGATTAGCGAGGAAACAAGGGTTAGGGTTTATGATACAAAGTGTGGATTCATGGACGAGCACTCGGTGGGAGTTCCATGTGGTAATGACCAACAGCGCTCCCAGTATTGCCGCCCACGCGCAAAAGACATTAGGCTATCATACCCCTACTATCACAAGAAGAGAAAGAAAGAAAAAAGGGAAAAATCCTTCGTAGAGAAAAACCGGTTTTCCAGGACCCAAGCTCTCTTTGAGGCTGGCAGTAGTGATATCTTGTTTCTCGAGCTACACGATTACTTGCTCGCCGGGGCGAAGCGAATCCCCCCTCGGTGTTGGCTTCTTTGAGTGCTCCGACTTATCCGACTTCACTCACTTTACCCTTCGCAATGTAGCCGCTGCTTCGGCGATCTATCTGCTCCATTCGGGAAGGCTGCCACAAGATACTGCCAGGCCACGACAGTCATAGGACGCACAAACTCGTCCAATTTCCGTACTGCACGGTGCAGCGCCCGTGCGGTAAGTATTCTTCCAGACCGACAGGCCAGCATCTCATGAAGGACATAGAGGTCGTGGTGTGGGTGGGGGGAACTTTTACACAAGGCATCACTCGCGACCGAGTCATGGGGCGGGAAGTTTCGTCACTTTTCGGCACCGCTTCATTTCTCCCAATTGAAGAAAAAGGAGGGTAGGAGGTGTCTGGACATACTGTACTATAAGGGGTGCAAAGAGCTATGGTATCCCCGGGGGGGGGGGGGCAACCTAGAGAATAGCGGGTTGTAAGATCTCATGTTAAGTTACATGGTATCATAGCTGGATATACCTCAACTCCAACAACTATTCGCGAATGAGGAACAGAAGGGCGCTGACGCTAAACATGTGAAGAAACATATCTCAATAGGAAGGGAATATAAATATGTAAGATCGGACACATCTAATCCTCTTGCCCTTAGAGGAACTGAAAGCGAGGGCATCAGCGAGCGCAAGAAAGTATCTATCAGGGAATGCGCGGGGAGAATTCGCGTGTCACTGGAATATGGCCGGATGGGATTAGATAAATTGCAGCGGCCACCGGTGAGCAGCCCCACATATCTCCACGCCCGGTTCTTCATTCATGCCCATCACATGTCTGCAGAGGAGGAGGAGGGTATGTAGATATCGTAGTTCCCCCCACTTCAACCAGAGAATCGATCACCCCCGGGAGATCCGACCCGGGAAACCCGCGAGGGGCCAAGTTTTTCCGCTCAGTGATATTTCATGAAAGTTTACCGTTAGGCCGCGGTCTCGTCGTCAAGTATTTTGAGGATTGAGTCCTCGTGGTTGGGAGGGAGGGAATGGAGGGTGGGAGAAATGGAGCTTTACCTGGCGGGTGTGAGTAAGTAAGCTAAGTCAAAGCTAGGCCTTTCGGATAAGGACTGTATCTCGACTAGATTAGAGCGGTTGGGGGGGAGGAAGTAATGAGCAAGTTCGGAGAAATAGTCGCAACGGGAATATCGGTAGCAGGAAAGAAAGATTGCGAGCGAGTCACTGATTGCACGTGTGACCGAAGAGCTTTATGTAGCTTAGGCGGTATGGTATGATAGCTGTAATACTTATCCATAAGGGCACCAGAATATTCCTGACTTGCGGTCACCCAGTTCAGGAGGTTGTGCCCGACTTTCAGGTTCGGTGCCACGAGTATGATATGATAACTTGGCTCAAACCCACCCTACCAAACGAGTTTTAGCCTCCTACTATATACCATATATACTACTACTGCACTGTACTATACCACACTAAACTTGTGCCCCTACTCCAACAATATGTCACCACCACCATCTACGAAACCACATTACCCTCCATCCCTCCCGTCCTGCTCTAGCGTGTACCGTGTCGGTATTATGATGACGCATTACGTATGGTTGCATCGCATCATACTCCGTCACTCGCGCTCTAGAAAAATCGGACATCCCCATCCAATCCCTCCACTCTCTTACCGGTAGTGTAGTGGTATGTGGTAAGATACGATAGATAAATAAATGGGTGAACAAAGAGTTTACCGAGAACGCCGCCGTTCATTTCGTACTGTGTAGTTAAATGGTGAAGAAATGGTAAAGGAAAGAAGGGGGGGGGATGGCGCAGATAATCTAATACCCTGATGGCAAAGAAGTGTACGTATGGGAAAAAAAGTAACAAAAGGAATGAAGTCAAATGAAAGAGTTTTCTCCAAGTTATCCCATCCATCCATCCATCCATCCATCCAGTCCGCGGCATCGCCGCTACCTCTACTCACTCCCCACTGCGACCTTTTCCCTTTCGGATCAGAAGCCGGCATCATACCACAGTCCCTGAGCCTTGCCAGTGTGAACCAAAGAAAGGAGAAAAATCCATATTCTACTTATAATTCCCTAAAATGCGGCGGAAATCGAATCATTGCACGCTTAATATCACATGCCACGGCTACATTCATCTCCCCCGAGAATCTGTCATTGTCATCGCCTCCTGTCGCCCGCGATAACGTCCACGGCTACAGTCTCAAACCTGATATTCCGCTTCCACGTTTGCGTGCACTTTTCCACACCACCGCTCTCTATCCACCTGGCGAGGTTCTTGCACTGGCTCACGTCAAAGACTTCGAGGTTGTGGCAGCCTTCCACCACCGCTTCCACGCCCACGCCCGTAACGCGCACGCATCCGCGGACGGAAAGCTCGCGAAGTTCAAGCAGATGCAGACCTATTGCTCTGAGTGATGAGTCAGACACGGCGGATCCGCAGAACGACAGTTTTAGGACGGATAGGTGCGGGCAGCCAAGTGAGAGGACTTCCGTTGCTGTGTCTGATAAGGCGCAGCAGAAAGACTGCATAAGTGAGGTTAGCTATGGATTCGGGGGTGAGGAAGAAAGGGGCCTCTGAAAGGGGGTGAGGAAAGCTTTACCAAATCAAGGCTTCGGAGACCCTTAGCCGCGTTCGTAAGGAATACTACTGCGCTGTCGGTGAGATAGGTGCAATCTGCTAGACATAGACTTCGTAGTCTCTCAAAGCGCGTCATGCTCCAGCTCTGGAATCCTTGGTCTGTGATAGTGGTACATCGCGTGAGATCCACATGCTCCAACCTACGGGCTGCGTGCGCCGCAAGGTGGGACATGGTGCGGTCAGTGACATGCTTGCAATAACTCAATGTCAGCCGGCTGAGGTTTGGACATCCGATTACGGTACCTGGGGCGGGATACATTGGTGGTGGTTGGGGTGGGGCCTGCTGGCCGGGATTGTATCTTGAAGGGTTATTCGCTGCGGCAGCCGCAGCTTGTGCCTGCTGGAGTTGCTGTTCCGCGTACATTGGATGGAATTCGGGGACAACCCAACCCACGACCCTTGCTAGAAGTGTATCACTCACTTTCCGGCAGTTGCTAAGATCGATTTCCTCGAGCCCTTTTGCACGGTTTGACATTTCAAGTATGGCCTGCCCCGTAATGTCCCAAACACTCTTCATCTTCCAAACTTTGACGTTTGCGCCACAGGTCTGCGCAAGGACCATGAAGCCCTCATCACCAATGTGAAAGCAGTTTGATATGTCTATCAGACTGGGTCTATGCCCTACAAAGGGTGCAATGGCATGTATCAACACGTTGTCATTGATCACTCGGTTATAGGGCTTCAAGTCAAGAGTGGTCAGCAGGTATGGAGAATTGGTAAGCAGCCTTGACCAATGTGTCGACACCTGACGCACTCGCATCAACTCGTGAAGTTCCATATGTTTGAATATTTGGATCAGGATATCATCCTTGAATTGACCAATGTTGAACCTGGAGGGTTTCCGAGAGAGTATACGCGCCCGTTTTACCGTGGCGTGATGTTCCGGGGGAGTGGTCACATGTTTGGTCTTTACCGGCGAAGGTGTTGTAGATCTTGAAAGAGGGCTTGGATTCTCTTCCGTTGGCGAAGAGCTGCTCGATGTGGCGCTCGATTGTGGTGGCGGTGGGGCAAGCGAGCCTCGCCTAGACTTTGACCTAAGCGATTCAAAGTCTGCGGGTAGGTATGGATCCGGGTCAAAGGGTTCGACAAGATTCGAGTCGTTCGGTCCCGTGAACCGTGACTCGGGAACCGTCAAGTTCATTGAGGACGCTTTTGGGAGATCTGATATATCCAATCTATCGATTGACTGAGTAGGGGTTGCTGGCGCATCCCTCATGAGAACGTTTTCTCCATCCCCATCCATGCGGTCCCTTGCAGTCATCTCCAACTGTTGTTGCACTTCCGGAGGACACTTTTTCCACAATTCCTCCAGTACATCGCCCTCAATCACTAGACATTCCACAGGTGTTATCGCGCGAACTGTGGCTGTCCTCCTGGGTGCCAAAGATAGAGCTACAACCTCCCCAAAATGTTGGCCTTTCCTCAGCCGTGCCTTGACCTTGTTCTGCTTCGGGTCCATAACCATTTCGTCCACAACCTCAACTTCACCGCCCACAATAAAGTATATCTCCCTCCCCATCGAGTATTGCTGTATGATGGTCTGAAAGGGCGCATACGTCCGGGGGGCTGCGCTCAATCCTAAAAAGTGAAGGTTTTCCTGCGGTAGATTTGCAAATAATGGTAGTTCCTTCAGTAATTGCCGAATATTGACCTGCCCGCTTCCCAGAGCTGAATTGGTCACCCATTGGCTCCCGGGCTTCGGGATAGGACTGGGGCCCCCAAAGGCCCTTGGGGTATCGGGCTTGAGATATATGTTATCTCCAATCTCGACATCTCCATCCGAGTCGACCGCCCTTTTTACCCCCCCGGTTCTCGGGCTGCTTTCCCTTTCCTTTTTCTTCTTGTTGAGCAGCGTCAAGCGCTCCTCCGCCTCCTCCCTAATGGCCCTTTCCACTTCGGGAAACTTAGGCAGCTCGCGCTGGAGCGCTTCTTTTGTCAAAACGACAAGCAAACATCTGCTCCGGGCAATGATTGTCGCCGTTCGTGGTATGTCCATTAGTATACCAATTTCTCCAAAGAACGCTCCAGGCCGCAATTCCGCATAGGTGCTTTCCCCATCCCTCGAAGTGACTGCCACAGCACCTCGGACGAGCCAATACATAGCTTTTGCTTCATCGCCCTCGGTGAGGATATAATCTCGTGGCGAGTAAGGTTGGGGCCTTAGGTGGGTTGCAACGGCTGACAAGAACTCCTCAGGGGCACTAAGGAACAGCGGGAAAGACCGGAGTCGCTCCAGCAGCACTAGTGGCATGCCATTGGAAGTGGTAAGAGGGGAAGGACGGGCGGGCTTAGCAGGATTCGTTTGCGACTCGAAGTGATGTACAATCTCAATCGTGTTCACGTGGCCGTTAGAGTCGTCAGCTCCAGGGGGGGGAGCTGGGGAGAGGACAATCGGGGGTGCGCGTCGCCTGTGGTGCATCGTTTGTAGGACGTTTCGAGGGAAACCGCAAGATAAACTATATTATGGAACAGGTAAGGGTGAGCGACCAAGGGAGAGAGCAGTTCTTTATGCCCTGGGGGATATCCAAGCCCCGAAACACAGGCACAGTAGAACACGGGCTCACGCGCGCTCACGCACACACAGACAGCGAGGGAGAGAGAAAGAGGGAGAAGGATAGGGAGAAAGTAGACACACAGGCCAGAGGCGGAACAAGCAGCTGACTCGAATTTCTGTCCGACGAACAGAATGCAGACACTCCCGATAAGCAACGTCAAACTAGCGTCGATATTAGACTTTGGGGAGTGGTGCGACGACAAAAGATGCAAGAAACTTCTCAGGGACCACCTCAGTGCAAGTGCCCAGTCCTATGAACCCCCGTTATCCGCCGCGATATGAAGCGATAGATGACGAAAGAAAAAAAAGACTTTTAATCTACGCGAGTTACGTAGTTTTGGGTCGGTGGACAAGGAAAAAGGTCTGAGATTCGGGATAGAGTAGGGGGGAATGAGGTGCGGGTAGCTGTTACTTTTTCTTTTCCTTTTTTTTTCTCCCTCGTTTTCTTTTCCCTAACTGTTGCTATTGCTGCTTAATTTCCCTTTTGCCTACCGGTATCAGGTTCGTCCAAAGTCTGAAATTTCCTTTCAATCCTTTTGAGGGAATCCTAAGTAAGCTCTTTTCACGTTGCGGAGTCTGTTCCTGCGCGCAGGCTTTGCCGAGGATGCGGGTCGCCAATACTCGTACAGATCCGTAAGAGAAATAGTGGGAGGGAGGGCCGTCAACGGGATAACGGGGGCGGGGAAGGGAGGAGGATGTAAGGGAGGGGAAGGGTGGGGTGAGGATGGTGGAGGGGTTTAAAGCGTGTGCGGAGAAGGGGCCCCTGTTTCACGCTTTCTCAATACCGCATCCTTAGCTGCGAAAGTAGTTGCGCAGTCGCTGAAGAAGGGATTTTTTGGTGTGATAATAGTAATGGTCTGGGGATGAGTGATGAGGTGAGGATGGGAATGAGAGGGGATGGACCTTTCTTCTTTTTTTTTTGATTCTTTCCGGTGGAGAGTGAATGGGAAAAAGGGGGGTTGGAAGGGGAAAAGGGAAGGATGGGGGAACAAGGTGGGTAAATCTTGATACAGGATCGGGGCTCTGGAGACAGGTGGCACGAGACAGGACAGGAGCGGAAAGTGAGCGGCAAGCTTCCAGAAGTTCTGGAAGAATCAAGTATTGGGGGATTTGGAGGGGATGTGGCGATGGAGGCAGGAGGGAAGGATGGGATATCGTGCCACACAGCTATGGTGCTCGGACAGTGAGCAATAGAAATGGAGGTTGTGGCGGTGGGAAGAGCAATAGCGTTCTTGGTGATGATAGGGTCAATAGTGGCGAATTGGAGTGAGGATGGCAGTATCTGCAGGGAATGAATGTGGTCAAGTTACTCTACCGAGCTACAAGCTTTGAAGCGAAATAAGCCAAAGGGGAAGCGATGTCGATGAATGTAACAGGGGTTTATCTCCGGTGCGGAGCGGGGGTGAAAACGCTTTGAGACTTGGACGAATGAATGAGAGAGCCTATGATATCCTATCTCACAGAAGAGCCTAGGGGGGGGGGCAAGCCAGGGAAACTTGGCCGGAAGGGGAGATGGGATGGAGGGAGGGAGAATATCATCATCAGCCCTCGAGTACGTTAGGGTCATGACTGGGTTAGCACGCATGGCATGTTGATACCGGGGAGTTACCCATAACACCATACTCGTACAAGGGACTTGCAGATTTACCGGAAGACCCTCGTTCAAATAGTACGAGTATTTTATCGTGTCAGTGAAACGGGGCGAGGGCATTCGAGTGCTGCACATGAAGATATCATATTCTATCACTTGGTGTTTAACATGTAATACCGGTACTGTACGGTAATTGTAGGCCTGGATACCACAGGTACCCCCTCGGCCCCATACCGATAATCGCCCAACCACTGTAGACTATCCCCAATCCTCTCGCACAAAGAGAACAGAACCCACAATGCCGGTGCATATGGGCAGAAGGCACACTGCGTAGGAGGAAAGGTGCTATGTCCTCTCTCCCTAACTTGCGGTGCTGCCGGCAAGAAAAGGCTCGGGCGGCAGATGCAAACCAAGCACAGTGCCGGTACCGGTACTCGAGTATCGGTATGTGTGGTATTTCTATGAAGAAGGGGAAAAAAAAAAGGATGAAACCACACCCTCATGAATGACAGCCATACCCCGTCTTCAGTCAGCGTCTGGCAGCCATAGACTATCAGGAGCACATTTCGTACTGCCGGCGCCAAGGGGTGCAATGTGAACGATTTCTCAATCGATCAATCAGTCAATCAATCAACATCACCTTGTCAGTCTACCAGAATCCGTCTTCCTGTCTCTCCAGAGATAAAAATAAAATGATATTATAAAAATGAATAGGAATAAGAGCGGACCTACTCGAGTAACGGTACTGTATCTTTCTGTACCGTACAGTACATATGCACATAAACTCGCCATCGCCGTCATACCGCTACATCAAAAGAAACTGCAACAAGGCTACCGGAATGTGACGCGAATGACGATATCCTACATACTATGTGTTACCCAAAAGCACTCGAGTACCCGTAGATTTGATACCGGTAATCCATCACATTTTTACCTCCTCGCGACAAGAGGGGATAGAGATTGAGGGAGATAAAGGAGGAAAAAGAAATTCTAATGACAACCCCCTCCCCCTGTCATTCTTTCTTCCCTTCTTTCCATCCCTTCCAGCAGTCCACCTCCCCTCCCTCGCTTGCTCGGCATGCATCGATACCCGCTGCCCGAATGGACGAGAAAGCAACAACACACCATCCCTTTCCCTTTTCTTTTCCTTTTTCAATTCCTGCATGTTGCTCGGTTCAGCCCATCTGTTGAAAGAATTTTTTCCGCCACCGTTACAGATTGTGTGCCAGCTACCTTCCGCTACTGGCTTCCCTGACCGACACTGCATCTTACTTTTTCCTTTTTTTTTTTCATGCCATCTGCTTTCCATCTCTCCAATCTACCCATCTACCCTAACCCTATGACACGAAAACCCCGAGCTTGTAATTCACATCATACTAAGCCCTAGCAATCGAAACCATCGCCTTGCTGCAGCCCTATGATTTCGAGTATTCCCACGCGGGTTGTTTATGCCGTTTTCTGGCTCCGGCCATTTGGTTGTGGAAGGAGGAAAATAAACTTCGTTAGGGAAGAGGGAATTGGCCCAGCGGATGAGATGGGACGAATGGTCAGCCCTATCATCCCGTGCCGGATCGAGATATCATAGCTGATCGTTACCCGATGCCGGCCATATGTGTGAGATACTTAATGACTCAGATATTTTGAGATGGTTTCGGAATTTGCTTCCTGTAACATGTATCGGACTCGAGCAAACTTGGGCCCTAACGTGAACCACATGAATCTGGAAGCGGTCGAGGGGAGGCTAGCTCGTACCGTGAGTAGCTAGCTACAACCGGGCTTTCATCAATCTTGGCACAAGGCGGTTTCCCAAGTTCCTTTCCATTCTTTAGTGGAAATGTGTAAAGTGCAAAAATCGAGTGACATCCTATGAATATCGGAACTGATCCTCCAATAAAATCATCAATCGCTGACTGAACGACTAAGTAGATCAAAAATCTGCCGTGAGGCCAACCTGTCGCATCATGTGCTAGGAAATAGGTAAAAGAAAGGTGAAGTTTGATGCGGTATGTTTAGAACTCTGCAGGCTGGCGGGGTCGGTTCTGAGTAAGGATTTCAGGTATTGAGAAGGGAGTCAGATATCTCGGCTCTTGCGGTTGCCCAATGAGCGAAAATGCAAGTCTTTTGTGTGATGGTGTGAGGACAGGTCTGCTGATCCACGAGTTGGGCGATATGCTGGAGCAGGTCAACTCCCGGTAATACGTGATAAGGCTATGCCTTTGCTAGATAAGGGGGAGCCCATGTAATTCCAACTTTGCAACACCAACGAGGAGGAGACCTTTGAGATTTCAAGCCATGATTGCCTAGCCCTGTGGGGGGGTCTCGAACATTATCATAGTGGTGAAGTGCGGGGAGGGTAATTATGAAAAATGGTGAATAAAGGTTTGTGAAGGGGCGTCGGTGGATAGAGGGGTGGTAGATATGGTTTCAATTGAGTTGGAAGAGATCACCGGAGATTGTTGACTCGTTAAAGCGATCATGCGTGGTTGAGCTCGATGGCGAAGATAGAAAGGGATAAGCACAGGGGAACGGGTCGCTTTGATCCAAGTAGTTGGGCAGCCTCGTCATCGATCCTCTCAGCTCTTCTTAGCGTCAGATTGATTGGTGGTGGGAACCCCTATCCCCTTTCACGTGATAGCAGGACTCCCAATAGCTGATGGCATGATATGATGCTAGAGCAACGGACGGTGTGGATAGAGGTGGGAATCGAGGGAGGGAAAGGGGAGAGGGCAAAGCGATGCTTCACCGACTATTTAACTCGAATCAGGTTTTCAACTCATCCCGAAACAAACCCGTTTAAACTGACAAGGCTGAGTGAAAAGGGTGAGGGACAAGGCACGGCTCACCCCTTAGTGACTGTCGGTACTCGAGTACTCGAGTGTGATAAAAGACGCGGGAGCCCGGTAATGGCGGTGGTAATAATACTACCGAGGGGATCACCACGGGGCCTACCGGTGTTCCCAGCGGTCCAGCGGCCCCACCGGGCTTAGCGGGGGGGCTGCCAAGAGCCCATGACAGGGCATGGCTGCCTCACACAGTCCGTCAAGGGCGGTAATGTCTCGGGGTGGCCGTCGTTACATTACCGGTATATGGTGGGTCCTGGGGGTTGAGACAGTGGCGTTTAGGGGTACCGGTGCTCGAGTACTGGTACAGGAGACGGGAGGATCAATTGAAGGAAGAAGGGTACCGGTAAGTGAACTTAGTGAAGGCTAAATTAAGGGGGGCAATAACCCAATTCGGGGTGATAAGTACACTCGCCCCCCGCTATCCCGGATCACACTGAACCGAATACCTCGCTGTCCCGTATGAAACTCCGGTGAATTCTGAATTTCTTTGCACCAAAACCTGGCCTGTTGTCCCGGATAACTCGCCGTACCGGACAGATTCTTCGGATTTTGGCCGTCCGGGATAGCGGGGCGTGAGTGTAGTCAAAGTGCCGCGCTAACTCGGGAGGGATATTTCACTTGCGCAGTCTAAGGGGTGGAGGGGGATGGTGACTCATAATTGTGGTTTACCATATCAGATGGGCCTCATGCCCACGGTCCTCTGGCCACCCAAAAAATTGATGGCCATTGCACGTAGCTCGACCCATACTACCACCAGGCCGGACAGACCGGATAGTTAGAAAGGCTGGACTTTACACTAATC